TTGATCGTGCTCCCATCAGATATTCCCAGATTGCTCCGCCCACTAGAAAATCATACGTCTCGAGAGTAAAGAACTAAAAAGAGGCGTTAGCTCCAGCCATTTACGAAAAATACTCTCTTGGGAAGCTTTCAATTGCGTAATAGCTATTGGAAATTGAGGTACAAAATATTTTTTTGAAATTTTTTGAGTTTTTTGAGTTTGAGAAGTTTTTTTTTTGAAATAATGTAGATTTTGAGTGTTTTCTAGGGTACTATAGCAATAATCGCGTACCTTCTAAGAAGTCTCACATTCGGTGGAATTGTTTGAATACAGTTGGACGAAAGGTTCAATTTCTGAAGATTTGGTAGTTGAGTGATTGAGGTAGGGAAAACGGCTAGACGATTCGACGATAAATCGAGACTTGTAAGAGAGGTGAGCCTGCTCAGATCGTCCAACCAACCGATTTGAGCCGATGATGGCTGAAATTTCTTTCATTGTAAGAGATCGGCTTAGTTGCTGTCATATGGGTTATCCATCTCCTTCTGGAGAGTGAAAAGATTGAAAAAAGTTGAAGTGCTGATTTCTGGATCTCAAGTTTACCATCAAAGCACAACCACACTGCTAAATGTTATAATTTTCAAAGGTCTTTCTTTCACTCCACATGAGCGGTGTAAGTTAAACCCTCAACGGATGTGCATAAAAAGCAGCCGTGCCTTTTATGGACATCCGTTGACGGTTTCGAAGACCGAGTTCTCTTTTTGGGGTATTCGGCGTTCATCTTGAAAATCGAGCAGTACTGAGTAAAACCCCTATGAACCCCCTTGGAGCGAGGTTGGCAAAACAAGGTGAGTAAGAGTGAAATTGCTGGCCTAATTCCATCGATGTCGTTTTTCAGGGGCCTATGCAAACGGGGCCGACCGTTTCCACGAGGTAGAGACTGACTTTTTGCTGACTTCAGATAATTATCAACCGGTTCCGATCTAACTGCTATTTATGCTTTCCGATAGTAAATGCAGTTTCATAGTAAAGAAATTCTATTGTAACCAAACCCGTTTGGTTCTTTCTGTGCCGGAATTAGGAAAGATAGGAATGGCGCCATGAGGATGACTACTTGGCTGTTGTTCCAGATCCATTGTAGGGGCAGTAATATATCGGCTAACTTCCGCAATCTATTGTACAGATCGAAGCGGCAATTAAAGTGCTGTGAAGTCTCCGACAGAACCTCGACCTCTTGGAGTTGTGCAGCACTGCATAAAAATGAAACACACTCTCAGTGAGATCAACTTGAAAATTGTAGTAACCAAAGAGTATATGGTAGAGTAGAGGTAACTTTTTCAGATTGCCAACTAAATGACTGCATCCTTTCCAGAGTACTTCAAACATTGAGCCTGAGATGTGACTGACTACCTGTTTTTTCAAGGTGATTTATATATCTAACCAGTTACCTGGATGTTTTGTGGTCAACTATAACTGGATCAATAACTCTTTTTCTACTAGAAAAGAAGGTTTTTATGAATAGACCCAAAACATACCGCGTACTACGGCGTAATAACAGCCAGTAATAACAGCGTAATTACCGAAAACATTAAGTCAAAAGGCACTAACTTAGTTGCCCACCTAGAAGTAGCCATGAATGAACTGTTTGATTTTCGACACCTATTGTCTACGATTCGTAGAGCATCCGTTGAAAACAAAAAAGCATGCAATACCCCACCTCACTGTTATTCTTGGTAGACAGCGAATTTCGCCTAAGATTCAGCTGTTCCACCTCATCGGCTTCCGAACATAGTAGCGATTCAGGTAGTAGTGTGAGCTTTCGGTCGCTGAGGTCGCAGACATTCCGTTGTCCGCTCTAGAATCGAATTTTCAAAGCATATTCATACGAAAGAGAGAATGGAGTCGAGACTTTACCTGCCGACATTTAGTCAACCAAAGAGCAAGGACTTCTGGTTCGTCAAAGTGCAGTAAAACGACGGATGCGGAGTGCTGAACCCGAAGGCAGCGGCCATGTCGGGTTTCGCATACATCGACACGACATCGTGACAAGCTCATCGCATCGTCTTCGCCATTCTCTGAAGGAAAACTCCTTGGTGTATGACTCATCTGAACAAATCTGTTTCTTGCTTATCATAGAGGGTTAAACTTCGAACAACTCTTCCCTCATAGGTAAAGGTAGAGAACTTAGTCTCATAGCACTGTTACAGGACGAGCCGCGCACTCGACAAATCCCCGGAGCTGCTCACTCTACAAGCCTATCTCCTTACGTTTCTTACCGTTTAGTTTAAGAGTTAGCCGTAGCGGAAGAGAAAACGTGAAGAGGATCTTGGTCGGAATCCAATAAATAGGGAACACTTCATGGGATAAAAAGTCGATAGGGTAATCTACTTTCTTTCATATTCCCCTCCAGAATGGTGGTGCAAAAACGTAGTGAATGTACAGAACTACCATTGGCTCCTTCTGAGAGCCCCTGATGATGCATACCGAGATCAGACAAGACGAGTAAAAAAGCTTGCCAAACATAATTAGGATTTGATCCATCGATCATGCGCTGCTTGCAAAAAGCTTGAAGAGTTCACTGCCACTTGCCGGCTCGACCCAGTTTTGCCCAAAATTTTAATGCTTGGGAGTTTCGTAATACAAAATGTTTCTCAAATAGTCATGCCCCTATCTTAGAAGTCGTTTAGTGACGCATAAAAAAATATTCTAGGTATGAAATTAATTGATTACCTTTCTGTATTCGAATACTTCCATTATAGAGTAAACACCGTTGGCGACTCCATCGATGCACGAGCCTTCCTCGTCGAACATCACAGTTAGCGATCAGAATCTCTGATCGAGCGATACTGTTCGGCTGTAGAACAGGACGTCCTGAGAGAGAAAACATATTCCATGGCCATATTCAATTGCTTTGATGGTGATTGACCAACTTGAAGACTACGAAAGCAGCTCATTCCAAGATGGAAAAGTAAGCGGTTTTGGAAAAAAGGAAATAGAAGTGTTCAATACGCACTTCAAGCAGAAGAAACTTATCAGGTTGCAAGGGTAAGTGGCTCTTTGAGAAGGGAATTTGGAGCTTTCGCATGCAAAATCCCTGGTTAATCTCCCTTAAGGGTACCAAAAATGAATGGGCCCTGAGTCAGAGACTGAAAGGGTTGATGTCTGAAGCTGAAGACTCTATGCTTTGTAAATACGCTTTCTTTACAAAAAAAAATAAACTGGTTACCAAGAAAAAACGCCAACAGGTGTCGAAACTGCAGTTCCGTGCCTCTGGTCCGTATGTCATTCTCTGAGTGTCCTAGCGATGAGAGGAATTCGCGAAGTATGTACAAGGCTCGAGCAGATGGCGACAATTTTCTGAACACAGCATTGTTTGTTTCGGGGAAGAATTTTTCCATCGCTTGAGCGCTTTTTTTATTTACTGATTGATTGACAAAAAAATTGATTATCCTTTTGTAGTCACCCTTGTTGTCAGAACATAGCATACGCGTGCTTGTGCTTGAGAGTTTAGGGGCAAACACCCCTTAGAGGCTTTATAGGGCTCAGACAGTTAGACAAAATGCGAGCAGTTGTGAGATAGCTGCCTCGACCTGTCGTACACATATCCACTTAAAGGCCAATTATTCCGGACACGCTAGATATGTGGGGAGTGGGAGGAGTAAGATCAACTACGCTACTTTTGGGCCATCTTTGCTGTAAAAATGTGATGATCTACTCTGGCACCTGAAATCCTTCCAAAATTTACTCGCCGTATCACTTCTGATACAACCTGAACTGATATATCTACACACCCTATCTTCACAGCCCAGTTGCGCTGAAGTGCTGACTTTGTGAAGCTTCCAGTTGGGTAGAAGGGAGGCAGGAGAAAATCGACTTGGAAGTCGTCCATTCCCTGGCTATTCTGGGAGCCCCCTGACCGCTTAGAGCTGCTCAATACAGCGCAGTTCGAGAGAAGCGGTTTGCTAATGACAGAGGAATAAATGACTTTTTGCTGCATCCGCCCATACCGGACCAGCTCCAATGTCTCGGTACGGTAATTGGCAGTCTGGTCAACCGCCCACATTGTGACGATCTGACCGGTCCTCCGATCATGAATGCGTGTGTGGAACACCCGATTGGTAAATGAGTTCGCCTATTCTGTCAATCGCCCACCGATTCATGCTCAGTCGTAGGCGTTCGACTGAATTCCGATGTTATAGAATATGTTCGATCTCACCGGCATCTCTACTTTTTACCCTTACAGTTGGTCAAGAGGATCTAAGACGAAGATCTGCAGGAGAACACTCCCTTAACAGACCTGCATACTGGGAATAATTACTTAAACTTCAGGAGTAAAGTACAGTCAGCCATACGCTTGATCCTGTCCGCGCCTAGGCGAAAGTTTTATACAGCAAATTTGGAAATTTTCAGGTTCAAAACTCACCGAATGTGAAGATTCCCGATCTGTAAGTAAATTGCGTCGACATTGTAGGCTTTAGCCAGATCGGCAGCCGTAGTCTCCAAAGAAATGGTAGCCAAAGCACTGCGATCTCCTTCCGGTGAGAAAAGTCGTATGCGACCACTTGTTGACGATGGGGGAGATTGTGACTGAAAAAGAAAAGCCTTTTATTATAACCTAACAGTCAAGCTAAAACGATGTTTTTAGAACGTTTTTAGATGTTTTGTTTACGAGTTTTTGTTATTTATATCTATAGAAATGTAAACAAATAGGAAGTAGGAAAGGGTTCTTATCAGATACCAACCGAAGGCCCTGGCTTCATTTCACATTCATTGTATCTTCGGTTCATCACATCATGTTTGTTCATAACCAAGGGATCTGTAAATATTATCACCAGTTCACTAAAATAACGAAATGAGACACGGCAAACCGCCTGGAGGAAAATTTTTATGCGAGAAACTCTCACTAGTGTCAAGCAATGAAAACCCATTTGCTATAGGTGCTAAAAGTGTAAACAGGTACATTCTCAATAGAATATTCTGGCTTCAAAATCAGTGAAGTGGAATAAAAAAACATTTCTAGAGACCTTGGAGAAATATCTACTAGGGTGGCCATTAGAGCAGCGGGATTAATGTCTGACTAGGGTAGGGAGATCCTGAAAAGGTGTTCTGTCATATAGGTATGGGTCACTCAAATACTGCTTGAAAACAAGCGATTTCGCTCAACCATTTTACAGCAAGGGGATCACCGAAGAAGCGAAATTAGCTTTAAAATGAATACATTGCTGAAGTTTCGATACAATCACTCACTTCCTTATCAAGCCATGTTCGAGATAGCCGAATTTTAGCAATATCATCAGAAAACATGCAAAGTAGCATAAATGATATAGAATTACGCGCATGAAAATCGAAAAAAAAATGAAAATGAAAACAAAATTGTCAATAAACAGCGCTACTCATCTATTCATCGTAACCACGTGACCACGAAGAAATGCCTCGCTATATGATTTCGATTACCACATACATTGAAAAAACATAAACCAGAAATGATGAATATTCGAGTCTCTTCTCAGACCGCCAACCCAAACCCTCGCCGCTAACCTCCCTTTCAGAGTCCCGGAGGCTTCCACAATAAGCCTGGAGCATAAAACGATTTATGATGGCCAGGTGATCGTCAAGTCAATATTTTTGAAGTCCATAACTCATGCATAGCTCGTTGCCATTTCATGCGAGACATTCAAAGGATGTAAGATACGGTTGGCCTGGACGTTCGTAAACTACATAGGTAATGACGGCTTTAGGCTTAAACAATGTTTTTAGGTACTTCAACAGCAAAACCAAACGTTCCTATGAGCCCTAAAGGGCTGAAGGGCAAAGCATCTTATAGTCAATTAACAGATATTTACCAAATTTGGATGTTGTCTCTTCAAAGTGAACAACCTATCCCGTCAAGTCCTCTCTAAGTTTTCCCCATACCTGAAAGGAATGGCACTTATCCTCTTCGTCCAAATAGACCGTCAATAATATATGCGAATGAGGAGGAAGAAAGCCGCTTAGGGCTAATTTTCTACTTTGGAATAAGGAATTTTAACATTGAAAACAGTAGCCATGCTGAAATTTATAGAGACCACAGATGAGGATAGACATTTCGAGTAAGAACATCGAAGATCGCTGTCAAGGGAGCTGAGTTGAAGGCGAAATCACGCCCTACTTTCTCACCAGTTTCCTTCCCTCTCCTAAATACGCTCCTTCGAGGTTCAGGATGAAATGAAGAGGAAAAAAAAGAAGTCTCACTAATGAAGTATGGACGGGAATCGAAGCAGCAACAGCACAACAGCACGCCCCTTGGTTTGGGAACAATTACTAAGACAGTAAAAAGTGACCCCATTTTTTGCTGAAGTCCGAGAACATTTGATTCTTGATCGTACCCATGATATATGTGCTATCCGGTAGTTGTAGACTGCTTTTCAAGTTTCGCCGTAATAAGATATTATGCCGGGTAGTGTTGGAAAGGATCCTAACTCCATCAACGCTGTCAGAAGTTGATATGCTCTTTTAGATGGCAGGGGCACGGTCTTTGAAGGCGAACCTGGAAAAGATCCGGTCGTCCCCATACAATGGAGACTCCTACGTTCTTGATGCTCCTAGAGATGATCCGGAGGTCGATCGCCTCCAGGTGTTTGACTACAGAAAAAGTATATTCGATGGATTCATCGATAGTACGTAATTTACCCCCTATCTATTTGTCAGTTTCTCCATCTCCGCTGAAACCTGAAGGGAGAAGTATGTTTTTTACAAATCGTTCAGCCGCTACCACCATTCATTCTTGACAATCCCGACGTTATATTCAAGCCAGCTAGCTGCAGAAGCTCGTAATCGCTTTTGAAAGAAAACGGCCGAGACGTGCCAGCAACTTTATGTAATACTAGGTGCCATAAACCCCATGGGACTTGTGAAAAACTGGGACCGAGCAGAGACACTTTTTCCCACTCCAACCCTGCAGCTTTTACTTTTTTGTTAGTTCTCCCAAAGTGTCCGGTACAAATCAACCGAACCCGCAGGTATAGAAGGCTTGGTTGGCCTAGACGGATGTCGATCCGAGATTCGAATCTGTGTCCATAAATGTCTGGTAATTCCCGACTTGTCACTGTACCACCCCTTTCATTTATGTGTAATGGTAACTACATACGCTGATGCTATTTGGAAAAAGTTTTAGTTCTAAAAGGAAGTAGTTTAATAGTATATCTTAGGGGAGAGTGGGACCGCACCTATCTCTTTCCTATTCTGACAAGAGTCCCCGAGCTTAGGTGCATTAATTTGCCGTATAATAGCGATCAAGTGAAACTCTGAAATCACAAATACCTGTAACTTCCTGAATTTACAATCTTACTTTTGAAATAAAGTAAATAAATCAATAATAAAGCTTAAAAGGAATATTTTACATCAATAGGATTCTATTCGCAATTACAGTAATCCAAGACAAAGTAGCGAATGGCTAAGGACGAAACGGAACGTTCTCGAAACGATTAGACAAATAAATGAAGTCCTAACAGCATTACGTATAACCTCATTGGATTACCGGATCGTAAAGAAATAGTCCGCGATAATCCGGGAACGGTGACGGCGGCGGTGGCGGCGCCAGGGGTTTGCAGGGCGGCGATGCGCAGTAGCGTGTGTTTCACTGGGTTTATTGAATAGGAGAGAAGGCCGTGCAATAATTGCTCTCATAACTATCCCCGGTGAAGGTGGGACAGTTGGAGGGAGGAGGGGAGGGGNGGGGTCGAACTCGATTACGAGACAGGTCATGGGCAATTTCGACCGGTGAATTCAACATCGAGTTTCGCTTTCACCTCCAACTCCGCGTTCGTGCAAATGGGCTCGTGGGTAACCGGGACCTTTACGAGTGGGTAAACTCCGCTCACAGCTCCAGTTTTTGCCCACCAATCGTAATGACACGGTTTATTGCCACTAATAATTAGTTATATACTCAACCTTTCCATCCCATCATTGTACTACAATTACCGTCAAAATGGCCAATGTTGACGTTCACGGTTAAATAAATGGGCATTCTCCTGGTACTCACCAGCAGCGAGTGCCTATTGACAGTTCCGTCCGCCAAATACCACCACCAATTCCTCTGGTTTCCTAAAAAGGAAGGCAATTTTCTGAGGCTTAGTTAGTAAAGCTATTCAAACTTTATACAATTTACATTGGGTCAGAAAACCACCAAAATCAAATCTAATTACTGGAGATCTGAATATGGAGCATTACCAAAGAAAAAAGAACTGTAGAAGAACAACCTTTACGACTACAACTTCGAAAAGTGCAAAACTCGAATCAACAAAACGAGTACACAATAAATAATGAAAGAACGCGAACAATATAAACATTATTTTACACCAATTCATTCTATATTGATACCTCGCCTTACTCTCAGCGCAGACTTGACGTCGCCCGACTACTTACATAAGAAACAAAACATAAAAAATGAGCAATTCAAAAACATCTTGCCTAAAACGAGAAATTAATTAAATAATTTTTTATGGAAACAAAGCTCGTAAATCTGAGAAAAGCTTCCGTCACCTTCTGTGATGGAATGATGCTTGAAATCGGATCGCTCAGTTCAGCTTTGATCAAGTACTCTAATAAATGAATAACTCATCTGAAAACAAACAAAACTCTGCTGAAGGTATTATAGAAAAAGCCTATATACATCACGACCGAATCAGATAGGAGATATTGACGAGAAGAAATCAGAATATAAAATTAAAAAAAAATTAAGCTGTAAAATTCCATGTACAGAATCTATGAATAAGATCTTCAGCTAGTGCCTTTCACTCGCTGTTCTATCTCAGAAAACTCCACACCCATGGCGTCAAGTTCCTCCATTTTTTCGTCTACTTGATCGCGCAGAATAGCCTGGAAGAATTGCTATGGTTTGCAAAAACGCAATCGCCAACAAGCAGTACGTACTGAACAATTAGCCGATACCAACACAAGAACACCTTCAGTAAGGGTTGTATCAAACTAAATTTAATGTCGACTAAGCGAATAATTCTCCACGCAAACTGAGGTTACCATGCGGCAGTAGTCATTCAAGATGAGATGAGTATCGCCGCATAGGTTTACGAGTGCGGATCTCGAACCTGCATCCTGAATCAGCGAAGCGATCTTGGTTGAACGAATCCGAAAGGGGCCATGAGAGTGCTACTGCTTCATAGGAACCGTGGCGAAGCTGATGGGAACTCATGTGGCAAGGAGTGATATGGTTTCAGCGGGCGAGGTCGTTTTGTATTTTCATGAAATAGGATCTAAACTCTTGCAAAACAGTTCTACTCCTTATATTGAGTGACCAAAACCCCGACTCACCCTAACCAATTTCAAAAGAACGTTCTCCCGTGACCATCTAATTGTAAGACTTTGTGGTTCGCCCATATCCAGTAAGGTGGAAATGCGAGATCTCTTCTCAAAATGGATTCGATAAACCTGTTTAAATCAGCGTACTATCGCAAGAAATGAATTTCCCACACAGATGCGATAATATCAAACTCGGGTAAACAATGTAGTAAGTTGTAGAGCACTCCGACCGGGGGACTTCCACCTACAACCGCACCGTCTATGCCAATGCAGCACTTCAACTTAAGGATCTGCTCGGATCGGTATGTCCCAAGGACGAAATGCTTTTTCAGCTCAATTTTCAGAACTCCTTCACACTTTTAATACACCGTTTGCAATCATGCTGCCAAACACTATCTATTTACGACTTTTGTGAAGTCTCATAATAAGGTAGCAATTAGTTTGCGCGCTAGCCATATGATGCAGTCAGTGCACAAACAGCCTGTGCGCCAGTCTGACCACCTACCTTTGCAGAGTTGACCATTCGTATTGCGTTAAACCTGCTCAGATTTGGTATATCCCTCAAAAGGTCCTTATAACTCGCTTTTGCAACCTAAAAAGAAAAGACTTCATTCAGTTGAATTCGTCCGATTTTCAAACAAAGCAGGCCAATAAGATAATACAGAACTCAGAGATACTCCTTTACCTTGGCTACGTTTTTATATCCTGCGGCGTAGAGCTGTCGTGCTCGCCCTCTTTTGACGCAATCAATTGCCATCAGCGGTATAAGCTCAACTACGACACAGTCTGACAGCCGCTGTACCAGTTCGGGCAGGAGAAGACGTAAAGGCCACAACGATGGGATCTTCTGAGAAATATTTATTTTGAAATCTAAAATTTCTGTGAGCAAACGAAAAGGAAGGACACCTCCGAAAACTTTGCCACAGCTGCCGCCTGGGCTATCGCATTCTGTAGCGTACTCTGCAGCCAGCCACGATCAACTCCGAATCTAGAACAGCGAATCAGTCACGCATCCGTACCTTCACCTCTTTAGCAAGTAACTCATTTTCGAATCAGTCAAAGATAATTTTCAAGAAAAGCTCAAATAAAAATTCTTACTTATCAGCAACGACGGCGTGAGGTTGCTGCTTCCAGATTTCCTGCAATAGTAAGCCTATGTAGAGGCGCATAGCAGGCTCCCCGGCCTCCTGAAAATAGTATAGCATAAAGATGGGTGAACTCCAAGAAAGCGAATTACGAGAAAAGGTGAAAATGTAAATTACCAATTGCTTTCTCTTGACTATATGCTGCAGAATGACGCACTCCGGAATACCGTACGATGACAGCAATTTTTTCTCGCTTTCGGATAAAGCAGTGTACTGGAAATCATCATGCGATTGGAAACGTCGAAAAACTAAAGTTCTTTCGAGAGATATATGCGACCTACCAAGTCATGGAACAAGTTCCAGTCTACAGGACATGCAGCGTCATAAGGAGCTATGGTAAAAAGAAGATGAAAATGAGAAGAAAATACTAATCCATTGTTCAGACTCGAGGTAAGATCGACTGAGAGACGCTGAGCTTCCAATGGTGAAAGATTTGCAGCGAACGTTGCGGATCCAAGCTGAGAAGATGAGAGAATTGCCTGCAATAGCTATTTTTCGAAACAGGACCTCACCGCACTGAAATCACTTCGGACTGGGACACAACTTTACAGATTACGTTCTATTGAGGACAACTATAGCTTCTTCATAAATAATCATATGGAAATGTACGGAAATGTCGAGTTAGTAACATTTAGAGAAGGTCGTTTTTTTCTCAAGTAATTAAGAATTCAAATTTATTTTATTTTTTCCATTCAGAATTCATTCTCGATAAGCAAAAAAATCCATGTGGACCCTCGAATTAAGTAGAACAAGAACAGTGAAAGCAGAAGGTGAGACACAATCTGATTGCTACGAAATTTTGAGGCATAGAACTTTCCTGCAAAATGTCATTGTGAAAGAGATCAATGGATAGAGCGCCGTGAAGAAGTCTTCGCCTGGTCCCCTTTGACTTTCCCAAGAATAGTCGCCCCTTGAAGCCAGTGTTATATTTTTCGATAGGATCTCCTGTAACTGAGCTCTTCCGCAAAGGAGCCTCCTCGAGATGGAATGCTGTTGACATTTTCATCATTACCCTATCGTGTCAAGTACTTGGTATAACGCTGATATATTATGATTACCTCGTCGTCCTCAACAAGCAAGCCGTCTTCCTTGAGTTTGGCAATTGCCTCCATAGCCACATTTCTCACAGCTGCATAACCAATTTGTGCATGTAATAGTGTATGCGTAAGGGCCTCACAGAGAGAATCCAACGAGTTAACAATCTATCAAAAGAACCTTCCTGTACTGAACGACTGCTTACATTTTAAGATTGTACCTTCAGTGTGACTAGATCTACAATGAACGCTGTTAGGTACTCCAAACGTGCCAAACCACTCGAACAAGAGATCATCGGCGAGGCAATCATCGAACGAAACTAAACTTTCAGGGGTTAGAAGTTGCAGAGTACAAGGTTATTTTCATATTGAATCACGACGACCTGCCTCTCCTCGAGACCAGGTCGAACAATTGTAATACTATCGCCTTTCTGGTCAAACCCGGCTCTACCAGCCCGTCCAACCATCTGCATATACTGCGCTTTGCCTAGAGGAGCACAGCCAACCAGGGGAGCCTGAAAACTTCGTTGAGCACTTTTTTTGGATCTAATAGGACGAGTCTTCATATGAGGTAATTATAGATAACAGCCTATGCCGTACCTTTATAATTACCCTTCTTGCTGGCATGTTAACACCGGCGGCTAACGTTGAAGTAGCACAAACCACACAAATAATACCATCCTAGAAAGTGAAACAAAGACACTGCTGCTTAAGCCTTCTTTGGAAACATTATAATGTAAACTCCATGTATTCGGAAACAATAGATTAAGAAAAGCATTGGTTGACATCCTTACACTGTAAGCAGCCTCGATATGTTTCCTTTCTTCATGCGTCAGTCCCGAATGATGGTAAGCTACTCCTGCTAGAATCGTGTTTTCCAATGCTGACGATATCTCAAATGAAAAATATAAGGCGGAGTTTAATAATACAATAAGTGTAATACAGAAATATATTCTCACCAGTCCTTCGCAGTCTTCCTTCATCGACTCTAGAACCTTCTTTCTTTCATCAATTTTCCGTTTACGCACATCCCTGGTAATAGACTTTAATTGAAGAACTTCCGATCTTATGCCTTCAGCTTTCGAAAAAGCTCACTGCAAATGCCACAAACTCACTCAGGAACACATCGCGCCACCATGGTCGCTACACTTTCACAGCTTTTTTTGGTGGGACAGAAAATCAGAACAGAACGTCGTGGAATCACCCCAATCAACAGCTGGCACAATCCATCTGGATCAGCTTTCGACAGACGCTAAAGCAATAGGGTAAGAGGTTGTGTTCTCTCCAATAAAGTCTTCCTAAATCTTACATTAGCCGGCAGAACAGCATTATGCTCAAGTTCACCACCAGAGTTTATTTTCCACATATTCTGCTCAATTCGTACGAACTCGTGCAACTCAACCTACAATTTCCAGTCATGTGTATATATTCAGAAAGCATTTAAGAGTAAGGTTGCAGAACAGATAAAATTGTAGACACTACGCACCGGTCGAAATGAGGTCGAATAGACATATGCGCGAAGGAAGCCAGCTAGTTCGCTAATATTCGACAACGTTGCTGACATTCCGATAATTTGACCGAAACCTGGATCACCGATGTCACTAACCGGCGGTAGAAAAAACATGAGATATGAAAGATGGTAGAAATAAAACATTA